TTGTGTATGGAGCGTCGCTGCTGATAATCCACTTTGAGCGGCACACTGGACAGAGGAGAAGCTCTGGAGGCCCGAGCAGAGGGACTGTCTCTCTTCAGGAGGGATTCAATAGAGAAAGGACTGCTGAACTTCACCTCACATCTGATCTGAACCCCTCTGCAGGCTGCAGGTTCAGGAGAGGGGACAGCTGAGCAGTTCCTCGATGCTCTGCTCAGGTTCTCCGTCTCCACTTTGGAGGCCAACTCTGGGAAGAGCTGCAGGATTCCTTTGAAGTGACGACGCGCCATCTTTGCTGTGATCTGACCAGAGTCCAGTTTCCAGTAGTTCCTCTTACTGTCTATAGAATCTGGGACAACTGGAATCTGAAAAAAATACAAGGGTTAATTGTTACATCAAATACTAAAAGGAGGTTAATTTGCGAAGATCTGAAATGAAAGCTTACCTTGACAAAACATTTGTTTGTTGATAGACAAACTCTGATGTTGTTCTCAACAGATCTTTTGTCGTCAGAGATTAATGGGGCCAGTCTGTCCATCAACTAGAACAATCAAATTGAGATTAAGTTTAGAATCGAAACATGTGTTTCACATTCAAAGATTCAAAGGATTCATTGTCCAGTAGCTACTATAATATTAAATCCCAGGCTCCATTAATGAAACATTAATATATAAAAAGAAATAAAACAAATCTAAAAAACAATAAATATAGTGCAACAAGAAAACAGAATAAAATAGTGCAGGTAAACTATATTAAATGTACAAAATAAAATAAGCTAAATGTTGCTGAGAATGTTGTAAGTGGCAAAGTAAATGCAGGAGTCTATATACACTTGTAGAATAAGAAAAACAAGAACAGAATGTAAAATTAAATACTTTACAATGAAATAGTGTTACTTAAATTCATTGCAAATGTGTTGACCCTTTCTTACCCGAGTAAAGGTGAGCATCTTGCCAGGAACGTCCTGCAGGATGACAGCGATCTTGGCCAGGTAGGTGGTACTCTTCCTGAACAGACCTCGCTGAGAGCTGCTGGCTGGACTGGAGAGAGATCCAAACTTCTCAGGCCTGGTCTGCATCTTGTTTGTTGGAGAATCAGAGGAGTCAGGAACAGACTGTGGTGTTTTCACAGCCTCACTGAGAACAGTTGTGGATGGGAGGTGGTCAGCTCTGGATATAAATCCTGTTGGGACAATAGGACATTAGAGGGTGTGCACTACAGGTTAATGAAACCTTTTGAAAAGTAGATGAGCCATTAATGTTGGAGGTGGAGCCAGTGGTTTCAGTAAAAGTCCATTTCCAAAGGGTCATCAGCATGTCTATATGGAGGTCCTGATCTGCCTCTTTGTTCATGAACAGTTACATTTTCAGACTTTAAATAAAGGTTATAGAAGTCCAATAATCCAAACAGAATATACAAATGAATAAGACTTTACTTTAAAAGTTTCATTCAAAAAGTAACACATCATACATTTAAATGTATTAAATTGAAAGAAGCTTTTGGCTAAAGCAATGTACAGTATACAGAAGCACAACCCAAGCAACAATATATCAACAAACTAAACTACTAAACAATGATACAACTACTATGTACAAAATGTGGTCTACATTTTAAGCTTTTTCTTACTTAAAATAAGCCAACATATCTTATTACCATTTTAAATGATTAATAAAATCATTAAAAATAAAAACTGGAATATATTTCAACAGTTAATATTAAAATAATATAAAGTGAATTCACAGTAAATCAATGTTTGTTGGGGTAGTTGTCGGTATACTCACAGTGAAGTTGTGTCTCTCAGTGGAGCAGCGACTCACTAGTCTGTGATAATTATTACATTAACTCAAACTACAAGGTTCCATCCTATAATTTGTCCAACCTTGTTTGTTACGTTCTCAGAGACGCCATAAAGATGTTGTCTGGAGCCTCTCAATAGCTGCTGTGAGAAAACACAATACACAGCTGGGTGATAATGACATTCCAATGAGCAATCTCATAACATTCTTGCAGTTTGCACATCCCTCATCACTCCTTCAAAGTCAAGCCTATATCCCTTTGTCCAATGTAATGACGAAGGTGATTTACATCAGTGATCCCCATTCACTTGCATGCACCCATTAGCTGGGCTGAATGATTTAAAGAACAAGTTTTGAAGTTGATTCTGACTGAGGCTGCAGTTGACCAAACCATTAAGCAGCTGATTTCACTTTTGTGTGATTGAATCTGTGTGACTCTGCTGCTTTGGGATCTGTTACAAGTAGCAGTTTAAGAAAGATGTCTGAATAATCCTGAAGGGTAAAATCAGATTTAGAGGGTTTTACTTGGAAAAGTTGTTAAATAATTATAAATAAAATGTCACTGTAACCTTAGTAATCATGAGTCAGACTGCCCATGTAATTTAGGACCACACCCTCAACTAGGGCTGTTCAATTCATGGAATTGCAAAATGGACTTGTACAATATTTAGATAGCTTGAAGCACAATATTTGTTAAAAGTGTGTGTTAAATGTGTGTGTGTGTGTTAAAATAACATTTTGAATGAAGTGGTGCTATATCCAGGCCTACAAGTCATATTTTACAGACTTAAAAAAAGTTAGCTGTTGTACAGTTCCTTTAAAAAAATCACAGCATTTTAATATCTTTTAATGATAATGAGAAGAATGATGGGGAAATGATCAATCCGTCCAATATTGTGAAACATATCGCAACTGCAGTCTCTAAAAAGTTTGTGGTTATTTTTTAAAACTTGTACAGTATACCCTCAACTAAATTGCAAATTAGTAATACTGAGAATGGCAGCCGTGGGGCGTTCAGAGAAGCCTGTGTGAATGGATGGAGAGACAATATGGGTGGAGGGTGGGGCTCGGAAAAAGAAAATTAATGTGCGTGCAGGAGACATCAGTGTTTATAGTCGTATAAAAGAATAAGGTGTGTTTGAGGTGTAGTCCTATTCATAGAAATAAAGGTAACTCCTTAAAAAACAAAAACAATGTTTAACCATTATATTAGCTATTAGTTATTCACATGTTAATAAAAGGGTGGACATGTTCTGTCTAGAAAAACAACTCTGTGGTTATGAAATCAGGCATGATACGTTTATCAAGTACAGAACGTTGACGTATATTAGTAAGAAATGAAGTATGTCTAATTTAAGGTAACATACAAAAAGATTACACTTGATTAATTTCAGTCTCTTTCACATTAAGATAAGATATACTTTATGAATCCCAAATTGGGAAATGTTTTCATTGCAGCAGCATGTAAATCAGAGTATTGCATAATTAGAGATGTATGTAAACATCTCAAAATAGAAGATAAAACAGAGCTAAAAAAGTGAAAACATAAAAGTCGACCGTGAAGATACAAATCTGTAAACTATCTGAAAAATAAAACACTATTGAAGGGCCAAATTACAGCTAAAACAATACAAAAGTAGGATATTATTTACATTTAGTGTTAAAGAATTTGAAGAATTACAAGAAGAGGGCAATGAACACTATTATCTCTATACAAAAAAAACTCAAACGGTGTCCTTTAAATGTATGTATGCTGCTTTTTAATATATTTATTGATGTACAGCACCTTGGTCAACTCTGTTGTTTTTAGATGTACTATATAAATGAAAGTTGGATTGGTTTGGATTTAAAGCGTGTTTACTGTGTGTAAGTGAAATACTCTGCTATTCTCTCAGGTGAACCGAATGTGAATGAATCTCGACGAGGCGTAAATCACTGGAAAGTGAGACAGACGTACAGCCTCAATACCATTGTGTTTGATGAATACAGCCATTTCAACTGTTACATTCCAATGCTTATTATTACAGCCGTTGTCTGGGAGTGGTCTACTTGTTTGTGAGTGGACACAGGAGTTTAATCTACTAAATATTTATTATGTATTTTTCCAGAACCTCTCAATTTTAGAGAAAGGGAAAGATACGAGTTGATAAATGAATAGCTTAGTCTATTAAAAATAGCTTTTGCTGACCTGAACCTTTTCTTGTTTGGATAAAAGAGTAATATTAGACTGTGTAAGTAGCCAGTTTCTGATAAAGAGTACCCAACATTTTGCCAGGACCCAAAGCCATCTTTACTTTTCCGAGAATGATTACAAACTGTGTCATGATACAGAAACTGAGTCTGTTTTTAATCCTTATGAAACTGATAAGGACAATGGTGAGCTTGCCACACATATATTTAAATGCTTTCTGGCTCAATTCTTAGACAGAGAGGTTTACTTCTTGGTAAAATAAAAGCAACTTTAAAATGTACCTGTATAGAATGAAGGTTATAATATATTTTTTCAAATGGACTTCATATACATTTAGCTTTGCCTTTTAAAAAAAATGTAAGCTTAATTTTAGTCAAGTGTGTGCTAGTTTTTGTTAGTTTCAGTAAGTGGGTAGTTTTAAAATACTGTTTTTAGTTGTTGTTAGGGCTAGGAAAAATATCTCAAAATGTGTTGCTACATGCACATACAAAAAACAAGAGTAGAGAACAGTTTAGGAATGCCCCTTACATCTGCTGTTTATTTTAATTTTATTATGTTTCCTATTAGTTTCAGGTACAGTTTACTATAATAACCCTTTTGAAATAATGTGAATAAGACCTTTTTCAAATTGAGTTCACTGGCAAACACAGGGTGCATAAAACCCTGGCTGACTGACTATAATCAACGTATTGAAAATAAATCAAATCCTTGATGTTTGAATATCAGTAAATGACTCCTTTTGAACAGGACAAAATATACATACTGAAACCTTTTCTGTGTTAACTGGCTCCACCTCCAGCATTAATGGCTCATCTAACTTTCAAAGGGTTCTCATTAACATCCAGTATACACCCTCTGATGTCCTATTGTCCCAACAGGACTTATATCCAGAGCTGACCACCTTTGGTCATATCTGTTCTCAGTGAGACTGTGAAATCCCCTCTGTGTGTTCCTGACTCCTCTGATTCTCTCACATAAATCTTTATTTTGGGACCTAACTCTTCTTAAAAAAAAAAATGCAGACCAGGCCTAAGAAGTTTGGATTTCTCTCCAGTCCAGCCAGCAGCTCTCAGCGAGGTCTGTTCAGGAAGAGCACCACCTACCTGGCCAAGATCGCTGTCATCCTGCAGGACGCTCCTGGCAAGATGCTCACCTTTACTCAGGTAAGAAAGGGTCAACACATTTGCAATTATTAAAAAGTGTCGTGTTAAACATGTTTTGATTGTAAGTTCATTTCAACTTTTTTTGTAGTTGATGGACAGACTGGCACCATTAATCCCTGATGACATAGTGACTATTGAGAACAACATCAGAGTTTGTTTATCAAACAACAAATGTTTTGTCAAGGTAAGTTTTCTTTCCAAAACTTCTGATGTTGGATCATGGAACATGGAAATGTTCCTTATTAAACAACTTAAGCTCTATCTATAAACCCTGTGTTGTATTTTTCCAGATTCCAGGTGTCCCAGATCTCATAAGGAAGAACTACTGGAAACTGGACTCTGGTCAGATCACAGCAAAGATGGTGCGTCGTCACTTCAAAGTTATCCTGCAGCTCTTCCCAGAGTTGGCCTCCAAAGTGGAAAGGGAGAACCTGAGCAGAGCATCGAGGAACTGCTCAACCTCTCCTGAGCCTGCAGCCTGCAGAGGGGTTCAGATCAGATGTGAGGTGAAGTTCAGCAGTCCTTTCTCGATTGAATCCCTCCTGAAGAGAGACAGTCCCTCTGCTCGGGCCTCCAGAGCTTCTCCTCTGTCCAGTGTGCCGCTCAAAGTGGATTATCAGCAGCGACGCTCCATACAAAGAGTTTGGAATAAGAATAGCTTCAGCTGGGAATCTGAGGAGCCTCTCCTCCTTCAGACTTCAGCTGGAAGTTCCCAAATCTGCTCAACAGGGGGCAGCACACACTGTGGACTCACTGCTAGCGGAGCTGCTAAGCCCATCAGGATGCATTTGTGCACGGAGTCCTCATTCCCTGTGTACACAAGAGCCAGAGCTGCTCCTTATTTCTCCAGCCCTCACAGCAGCTACATCACTTACTCTGTACCCACTTTTACCCAGGATGCTCTCGGTCTTTATCCGTAAAAAAAACAAACAAATACAGATATCAGCTCAAGTACAGTAATTATAAAGGTATTTTGTAATGTGTCGACACAACATGATTTCATACGTTGACTGCGTGTCAGAGTGGCACCTTTGTTCCCTTTAATAACATAGTGGTTCAGATGAGGTGAAAATCACCGACATGTTTTCAAATACTCTCCACTTAAAAGCATCTTTGTTCACTTTAGTGACCCACATTCCAGTGATTATCACCTCATTTATCAGTTGTCTCTTTTGAGCTTTCTTTGTGGAGGGACAGACTGATTTTGCATTATATTAAATATGTATTTGGTTTCCTCTAAAACACTGAATTGGAATGTAGTGACACACACACGTTCATATAGACCTGGAGGTTTATTGTGATATATGTATACATTTGGATTGAACACATTCTTAATAAATAGTCTTGTTTGTTTATAGTTCAGATGTAGTTCCTTTTCATAAACCGTTGGCCTGATCATTGGATACATGACTGGAGGTGCATTAATGGGGTGGGGGGGAATACATTACATAATATCATTAGTTTTTGTTGAGAAACTGACAGGAATCAGATTGTCTTTTGGCATATTATACACTGAAATGGTTCTCGGCTCGTCAGACAGCCTTTCAGCATCTAGCTGTATTTGTATTCTCCATCCCCCTTGACAATCAAAACAACTTTTTTGTTGCTTAATGTGTGATGCCTATTTTTTTCCTCTATTAATATCTTTTGTCCACATTTTCTGCTCTAAAAACATCTCAGAAAAAACAGAACTTGCCACATGATGAATTGCACAACATGAAAAGATAAATTCTCTTTACACTCAAACCGAAACTCAGGTGGTTGTATTAGCTCTGAATGCAGTCCACAATTTCCATTTTGTTCAAAAAAAGAAAGTAAATATTTAGCATTAAAGCCATTAGGATTTTCTTTAAGGCCTTGGGCCATTTTTGCCTCATTTTAAACGCGTGTAGTTTGCTACATGCGCCAGATTGCCCAAATTCTGTCTTGATTCAAATGCCGAGGGTACAGATGAAGTTAAAATGGCACCCATAGACAAAAATTTGAACTTTATAAACTGTAAACGTTTTAAAAAAGGCTGGAAGTCTATCACAACATCACATGGAAGGACAGACGACAGGACAGAGACTATATGAAATAAAATGCCATTTTATTGTTCAGCCGTGTCACAACCTCGTCTCCAAAATAAGCACAGCAGGACTACAACTGGTTCATCAACCTAGCTACCCTTGATAGCACATAAAACTGGGTTTTATTAGACCACCAATGATAGCATTAAAGACTTTTCTATCAGACATCCAATGATAGCATACAAAATAGTTGATAACCTACCAGTGATACTGTATATAAAACACTTGTCTCTAGATTTATCCCCAACCCACCCTCAATTTTACCCATCTCCCTCTTTAGAACATTTGTGACACTGAAATATTTTATGCTTTAACAAGCACATATTAAGAATGCATAACTCTCCATTTTTGAGATTATTATTTAAAAAAAACTACACAATGTTACACTTTAAGTCAGGGTACAAGTCATCTGGTTATTAGTGTTCTACACATTCGGCCATAAACCAAAGGAACATTGTATAATATCACTATAACTTAACACTACATGTAATATACGTTTAAAAAAAAGAAAAGAAATTACAAATGATTAGCATTGAAGAGAAAATGAAGATGGCTAGTGCGAAGGCAAGCTGGGTCAGTACCATAACAGAGAATGAGTAATACAAAAAGAAATAAAAAAATAGAATAAGAAAAATAGAAACAAGAACTGATAAGAATACAGGCAAGGCTAAAACATGTGTTTCAAACTTTAAGATCCACCTCATGTGCACTCATCCATATAGGTAACCTGCTCCAAGACCTCCATTGTGTGATTCCACCTCTCTCTGATACTTAACCCTTTCATTTCCCCCACATCAACTTGCTTAAACACTCCCATGGCAACCATCTTCTTTGTTCTTTTTGTGTCAGGCACTTTCCAAGACCTCTTATTCTTCTCTTTACCTTCAACAACTCTACAGGCCAATCATAATGCTGCTTCAGACAATGCAGGTTCCCTCAGCACACAACTGCAAAAGAGCACAGGACAACATTTTCAGTTAGTTGCTTTTTAGATCATTATTTCTGATACTGTGACATGGAAAGTTATATTTTCTGCAGTGGCATTATGGCTTACCAATCCTACAGGTCGGTGTCAAACCAGGCCAGCTGGTTGCTGTCCATCAGGTCCTGGGAGTGGCCGAGGTCTGGCAGAGGGTCAGTGTGATGGCCCAGGTCGGGCAGAGTGTCGGTGTGGTAGTCAGCCCCTTCCATCATGGGGTCCAGAAGGGAGTCCTGGCCGTAGGCTGATGGGTAGGCCCGGTAGGCTCCATCTGGAAAAAACACAATTATTTTTGTATTAAAAGTGGTGCAAACGGTTCCAAACACTAAAATATTATTCGGAACAAACAAAGACACGCAATATGTAAAATGATACCCATTATGATATGAAGGTAGGCCTGTCGAGATAAGCAATTAATTGACTTATCGTACGATAAATAAAAATGAACTCGATAACTTTTCTGACCTCGATAAATTGCCGTTTACATGCGTGTGTGTTTACATAAGGATGTAACCAGCATTTTAGCCAGGTGCGCTGCGGCTGCCGGCCAGGCGCGCTGCCGGACACTCTACCGACCCGGTGCGCTGCAAAAAACGTTTTACTACTGCCTTTTCACAAATGCAATTGCGTGTTTTGGCCACAAGAGAGCTCTGTTTTCCAGCCTGAGTCTATTTAATTTACTGTTTGGGTTGTGTGTGATTTATTTAATATTTTTTTTATAATTTAATTAATTTGTTTTATTTATTACATACAATTTATTACATATAAATATTTCACATTTCATTTTCAATTTCATTTGAATGTTCAATAAAAAAAGAAAGTACTTGAATTATTATTATTATTATCACCATTATGTCAGTGGTCTAAAATGGTCTTACAACTGTGTCGACAATATTATCGTTTATCGCAATAATTTCCGGGAAAATGTATCGTCCAACAAAATTAATTATCTTGACAGGCCTATATGAAGGGTTATGCTTTAATAAACTGCAATACTGTAAGCAAGGCAACATATTCAAATAAGTAAAAGTAATGCATGACATTCAAGTTTATCTATATGTATTTTTTTAAAAGAACGCTATTCAATACAATTAAAAAAAAAAATCTATTATTTCGATACAAACGACAAATCAGATGCTTTTCAAAATCTAGTTACATAAACCAAAGCGTGATGAAATAAGAGGCGAGAAACCGAGAGGGGGGGATTTCATTTGAGAAAACACAGGCACTCACCATCCTGCCGATAAGCCAGAGGGTCTCCCTGAGCTCCCATATCCAGTCCCAGGTCTCCAGTCTATAAAAGGCAAATCAGTGATGAGTAAAGCACGACACAAGCCAGCCGACAGAGGAAAATGGATGCCTTTGTTCCAATACTATAGCGCTTTACTAATTGTATACAGTATGCAAAAGTACAGTCTAACATTAGTGTATATAGCATTAAAGCAGTGTTAGTTACTTAAACCTGTTAAGAAGACTATGTTGTCCCTGATCATAACAGATTTGTTTCATTTGCAATGTATGTGTGCGCATGCGTGTACCTCGTTCCAGGCCATGGGCTCGGTTCTGAACAAAGAGCTGGTCAGCTCCACTGACAGACGCTTCTTGTAGTCCTGGGGTTTGTCCTCAGACATGCGGAACAGGACAGCTGCAGCATAGGTAGCTACAGGAGACAAAGCACGGCAACACAAGTCAGGTACACCGAGGATACACAAGTTCACAGACTGATCAGAAATGTGAGCACAGCTTGTTTACTCACCAACACCCTCATTACGAGAGTGCAGCAGCTCAGTGAGGGGGGCAGTGGCTCCTTCAGCTTCAATGGCCTCAGCAGCTTCCTTATCCTGAGCCAGTTCACACAGCACACCTGCTGCCACGCGCTGGATGTTCTCCACTGGAGAATACAGCAGCTGGAGACGGGGAACAGCACATCGAAGGATAAGAGTTTTGATAAAGAAAGGAACGTTGACAAATAATAATAAGCGTAAAGGGATTAGAGAACCAAAGTTGCCAGTTAACCGATTGCCTTTTCTAAACAAAGACATGTGCATGGCTGTGGGATAGTCAGTGTTGGCTATAGTGCAGGGATGCAAACACACGTATGGTGAAAAAAGAGAGAACTATTTGAAGCAGAAAAAAAACTGCGTAATACACCACCTGACAAAGGCCTGTGCTATAATGCTTCAATTAACTGGCTATTCTTTATAATATACTCAGATCAATAGGAGACAGAGATGTTAAGTTATAAATCAAGGGTTTTTATTATTATTTACAGCAGGGGTGGGGAACCTTTTTCCTCTCAAGGGCCATTTCAATTTTTACAACATCCTCCGAGGGCCGTACAAATTATTGAATGCAACCTCTGCTTAAAAAAAACTAAAATCACAGCCCATTCATTTCGCCTTTCTTTCATGCTGTGCAAATTATTATTTTTTAAATGTTGAAGTTAAAAGCATCAATCTGGTGCACTTTGAGAGCAAAATTAAGAGATCTATGGATATATCTCTCAACACCCATATGAAACAGAACTGTAAGCAGATTTTTTTCTTTATGGATATTTTACAAATCAACTTTGTTGTTACTGTCATAGTATTTTATACCCGTTTTTCATTTAGTCTCTTATTTTTTTATAACTATAATGATCATATCAAGGTATGCCTTAACCTCACTGAGCTGAGGTTATTTGAGCCCCTCAGTCTGTCAGGAGAGAGCTCTCTTCCACCTGGTTGTAGAAAAAGCTCTTTATATTCGTTAGCATAGCTAGCTAACCAGATGCTAATAACAACAGATCGCCACTGGGCTTACAACTAAAGACACAGCCACGCAAAAACTGCGGCATGTGAACGGCTCCTTATGGGTACTGCAATATTTGAAG